TGTAAAAACTTGGCTGACAGTATATCTCCATATGAGTGATGATAGTCCTTCAAAGGCGAGTTTCAAGTGCATTCTGTGTTTGAAGGTGAGAAGTCAGAGAGTTGTGGTCAATGGGACAGAGTCTAGCTGTAGGCCTGTATCTAGTGGAGTCCCTCAGGGGTCAGCACTGAGACCAATACTATTCAATATATTCATCAATGACCTGGATGAGGGAACCGAGTGCACTGTTAGCAAGTTTGCTGATGAAACAAAACTGGGAGGAGTGGCTGACACACCAGAAGGTCGTGCTGCCATTCAGCAAGATCTAGCCAGGCTGGAGAGTCAGGTGGGGAGAAATTTAATGAAATAAAATAAGGGCAAGTGAGGAGTACTGCATCAGGGAAAGAATAACCCGATGTGCCAGAATAGGTTGGGGACTGATCTGTTGGAGAGCAGCATAGGGGAAAGGAACCTGGGGGTCCTGGTGGACAGCAGGACGACCATGAGCCAGTCATGTGCCTTCGTGGCCAAGAAGGCCAATGGCATCCTGAGGTGTATTAGGAGAGTACCAGGTTAAGAGAGGTCCTTCTCCCCCTCTATTCTGCCCTGGTGAGGCCACATCTGGAATACCATGTCCAGTTCTGAGCCCTTCAGCTCAAGATAGACAGGGAACTGCTTGAGAGAGTCCAGCGCAGAGCCACAAAGCTGATGAAGAGAGTGAAACACCTCCCTTATGAGGAAAGGCTGAAGGAGCTGTGTCTCTTTGGCTTGAAGAAGAGGAGGCTGAGCGGTGACCTCATTAATGTTTATAAATATGTCAAGGGTGAGTGTCAGGAGGACGAAGCCAGTCTCTTCTCAGTGATGTCTAGTGGTAGGACAAGGGGCAACGGATGCAAGCTGAAGCATAGGAGGTTCCACAGAAACATTAGGAGAAACTTTTTCACTGTGAGGGTGACGGAGCACTGGAACAGGCTCCCCAGAGAGGTTGTGGAGACTCCTTCTCTGAAGACATTCAAAACTCACCTGGACGTGTTCCTGTGTGACTTACTGTAAGTGATCCTGCTCTGGCAGGGATGTTGGACTAGATGACCTTTTGAGGTTCCATCCAAACCCTAACATTCTGTAATTCTGTGATTCCCGCACACAGACAACTGTGGTATCAACTGCTTTGATCTGGCATTTGATTGCAATGTTTCACACAGTCTGACTTAATTCCTTCTGATACCTGGATTCCAGTGATACCTGGAAGAGCTATGTTAACACGCACAGTGGTCAGGACAAACTGGAAAGGCACTATCCCCTTCAGCTCACAGGGTATGGCTGGGATTTTAAAGGATAGAAAAGTACCCATATTTTTCCCCAGTATAGTCATATCCATGAACTGAGGGAACCTTTCCTCCTCTCAGATAAGGGATCACCACAGAAAACAAACTGACCCCTCTCTAGTATTTGTCAAATGGTGTAGGCTGATGGGACTAAATACTCCTGTGGAAACTAACTTCTCCTCCTTAAGCATTCCCTGAGAACAATGGATTGCAAAACAGTATGGACGTTACAGGCATCAGGACTTTAGCCTGACCATCTCAACCATTCACCTCCTACTCAAATGCAGCATTTACAGCCACTGCTCCTCTGGAGAAATCTCTCTCAAACATGAAGTACCTCCTACACCTGATGCAAAAAATGACAACTAGTTACAGGCTTGGTAAAGCACCACAGGCCTGTTTCTGTGATGGGCCACATGTTACTGCAGCAGCTACAGACCAGCATTAGGAAGAAAATAAAAGCTAAAAGCTTGCATAAGAAAGCAGTGAAAACACCATACAGCACACCTGGATAGATAGTCTAGACCTTTCAAGGGAACAATGAGGATTTATCCTGCTGTTTCAAGCGATAATGAGCCCAGATGTAAACCAGCACATGGAGCTACAGTTTTATGAGGAATTCCAGTCATCTTGGCAGTATCAGCAATGCCAGTAACTTCTTACCTGGTTACTTTTTTCTCTCTTGTTCACCAACTTCTCAAGATCTTTAGAAATCAGCATCTTCTTAGCTACCTGCTTTCACACATGTATGCATGCATGATAGCAGCCAGACCAGGATCTCATTCCATATACAGTCCAGGATATTAAGATCACAAAGCATTTCCTTTATGCATCTGTATTTACACCAGAACATGAAATCCCCAAACACAAAAGCAAAGATGCAACACTGTTCCTGTGGCTCAGGGTGCACATCCACCCAAGGTGAGACTCACACCACACCGTACGCAGGAACTGGATTCCTAGGCATTTTCTCTGAATCGCTAGCATCGACTTTCTGAAGACAGAACACTTATGAATATCAGCACAAGCCAGCAGATTGTTTAGCTGCCAGAAGATGACAGCTTCTTAGAAACATGCATTCATTCTCAACATGTTCTACCTTAGCCTGAGGCCAAGACTTTCCTTGAAAAGTCTTTTCAAACTTTGGCATAAAGGCTGCTTTATTTTCAGCCAACATAACCACATATCTCGGAAGACAATATTTTGGGGGACGCTATCAGCAGAAGTAACTTCAAGCATGATTAAACTCAATTCTAACCACAGATAGCATGGAATGAGATAGATCATTCAGTAGTTTACTGAAATCACCCGCTTTTTCTTTTTTTTTTTTTGATTAAACAGCAGCTGAGAACCAATTGTATTATAATTGCAAGCCCACAGAGCTTTCAAGGAATAAGTTTTAAATGAAAGTATTAGTTATTTCAGACATCACAAATTTCTACTCCTGTGTAAGCTCAGCCTTTCAAGTTGAAATAATAGGGTCTTATTTCATATAGACATTTGCTTTTGCCCAATTCTCTCAAGGAGCATGCAGCACACACAAAAACTTAGGCTCCTATTTCAAATGAGCCCTTCCACATGGTTTCCAGCATTGATGAAGAGTTAGGATACATCAGTAAACAAGGAATAACTGACAAAACGCTGTTTTGTTTTCTGCCTCTCCTAAAGTGCTTTCTGTTTGGGTACGCAAATTTCCCCTCTCTTTGACTAGTCCATGTTAAATATAGTCAGAAGGACTTCACCAGATTAGTTAAGCTAAATGGCTAGCCATATAATGTTCTTTTGTTCATTAGACAGCACAGCTAACAAACAAACATAACAAAGCAGCAACTGTTTTAAGGCAAACCAAACTGTAGTGCAAAAGATCTTCTTTAGAAGTGGTAGATATATAACAGAACTCACTTGGTAAATAAACAGTGAATCTTAAAAACTCTCCAATAAGATGCATTTTCATTTGTCAACTAAAATGCAAAGAGAACACCTGTACAACAAAAAACAATAACACATAAAGCACACTTTAAATATAGCAGAATATAACCTCACCTCACCAAGGTCAAAGTTTATGGGAAGAACTTCTCTATTTCCACCAGCATTAGGACAAGAATACTGGAAACCAAATATCCAGATCGCAAAACATTGAACATGTTCAGGGAGATACCAAGCACATTTTACTGGCTCAATAAAATGCATATGCAGAACACTTGCTATATCATTACACTCCGTTAAACCCCAGTTTTGAAAGTTCCTTCAGCATCTTTGAGATCTCCTCATGTTTGCTCTGTAACGTACAGAAAAGATACAATATCTTATCAGCTGCACCAAATACAAGAAAGATGTCTTGCAATTGCCAGGGCACACAACTTTACTGTTCCTTACTTTAGCTAAGCCATCCAGTATTGTCCACTGAACCATCCCATCTATTACAGCTAATCTGGAAAAGAGATAGAACAAGTTCCTGTCCTTAACAGGAACTAAACAGAAAGAAAGAAATCAATGCACTATAAACTTTCTAATTAAAACTACAAATGCTCATCACTGCTGTATAAAGAGCAAGAACTTATGGGACTAATTTGTTTTTCTGTGAAATTACTCAACTAGAATGAATAGATATACACCAATGAGAAATAGAAGTTCCCAGTCTCTCTATAAGATACATTTCATTTCTTCTCTCTTCCAAAATGCTATTTAAAAAAGAAAAACAGGACCACTTGCATGAAAAAGGATCTTTTCATCCAACAGCCTCATCTTCCCCCACTGATTAATCTTTCCTGAGGGCCCAAAATGGGAGCTGCCAATAGAAAAGGAAAGCATAATGAAAAAAATAGGACCTGCTCAAAACATAAAAAAAAAATGTACAATAGATCCACACAAAGATGAGTGTTTACTGAGTCAAATCATCAGAAATTAAAAAACATATGGCCCAGCAAACTTTACAGACTGCATAGCCAAAAAATAGGAAATGGATGCAAATAATATGAGGAAAATAAACAGACAATAGAGTTGCACAATGTTAGGACAGGTGTTTCAGACAGTCCAAACTCCAACAACAATACCACCATCAACCACTTCCCTACATAACAGAAAAATAAAGACACTACCAAGAACAGCAGTCAAAGACTCACAGGCATCCTAAAGCGTCTGATTTTGACCATAGGTAAAAATAAATAAAAAATCAGAGAAGTGATAAAGGGAAGGAAGTGGAGGGAGGGGAGAGAGGAATGTGAGGAAAGAAGGAAGCTGCACAAAGATGTAGCTTTGCATCCTTCCTCCAACAGAGAGAAGACCAACAAGTCTGAATCTGACTGAGATAAAAAAGGCCATAAGCAAACTGATCAACTGCTTTTAAGTGAACTAACACAATGTCATGCTTTGGTCATTCCTACTACATACACAGATGACAGCCTTGACATTGCAAAACTGAGTAATACACACACCAACTCCCACTGTCCACATTTGCATCTTCCTACATGTCAGCAAAAACCATCTAAATTCACTATTGAGGATCAGAGTGGTATTTTTAGATACCAAAACATCTGCAGGCACATGAAAAGCCTCCACAGTATTTACTGTTGACTACCTAAGCATCTTCAGAAACATGGTTTTGCGTGCCAAAGGACATTTCTTTTTCATAGCAGCTGTAATATCCATGTGAACTGTTAGGCAAATAAACTAACACAAGCAATTGTCTTTTCTTACCAGTCATTATTCTCTGTGCTTCATATGGTTCCATATAGCCAGTGTTCTGCCCTTTTCCCAAGCTGTTCAACTCACTTTTTGCATCAAATGGATCTGAGTAGTCATCAGCCATCAATACCTAAAAGACAGGAAAGTAATTATTACTAGGATCTCAAGTCTTGTGCAAAGCACAAGGCAGTAACACTCTACCAGCAAAAAGAAATTTCCCATAGCTACATCCCATGCCAGAGGACAAATACGTAATTGCCATAAATCAATTACTAAGTGGTGCTGAGATACAAGCGTGCTCCTGATCGTACCAGAAACCTCAAAAAGGCAGACTCTATGTCAAAAGATTCTGGACTAATACAAGGTATGGAATAACCGAGATGGACAAATTAGAAAGATCCAATCAGTCAGCATATTTAATCCAGTGCAACTCTTATCAGACAAGTTTGCTAATATTCAGGAAGAAAAACAACATACTTTCACTTGCAGATACTTCACCCTCTCTGCTTTTCATGTTTATCAGCTACAACTGAAAATACCGTTAAGAAAAAAAATACTTGAAGGCTATTCTCCCACTGCATTAATAAGAAGCTTTGTCATTTCTCAGTTGAATAGAACAAGGTACAAAACAAGCTTGTTTAAACTTCCTTGCTTGAACCAACCTGTGCCATTCTTTCTCTCAAAAGGACAGTATATTCATCTGTATTTTGTTATTTAGGATAAGGCAGCGAAAAGAAATTATTTGTCATAAGAGAAAATTTTATTCCTCCATTAGGAGACTAGAAAAACCTGAAGGTTAGAAAATCATAGAATCATAGAATGGCATAGGCTGGAAGGGACCTTAGAGATCATCTAGTCCAACCTCCCTGTCATGGGCAGGGACGCCTCTCAACTAGATCAGGCTACTCAAGGCTCCGTCCAACTTGGCCTTGAACCCCTCCAGGGGGGGGCCAGCCACAACATCTCTGGGCAATTTATTCCAAAGTCTTGCCACCCTCGTACTAAAGAATTTTTTCCTGAGGTCCAATCTAAATCTATTCTCCTTCAACTTAAACCCATTTCCCCTTGTCCTATCACTGGACACCCTTGTAAAAAGTCCTTCCCCAGCTGTCATGTAGGTTCCCTTCAGGTATTGGAAGGCAGCTATTAGGTCCTCCCAAAGTCTTCTCTTTTCCAGACTGAATAGCCTCAGCTCCTGCAGCCTGTCCTCGTAGCAGAGGTGCTCCAGCCCCTGGATCATCCTTGTGGCCTCCTCTGAACACGCTCCAGCAGATCCACATCCCTCTTATGGTGGGGGCACCAGAACTGGATGCAGTATTCGAGGTGAGGTCTCACAAGAGCAGAATAAAGGGGGAGAACAACCTCTCTTGACCTGCTGGCTACACTTTGCTTGATATATCCCGGGATGCGGTTGGCCTTCCGTGCTGCATGAGTGCACTGCCAGCTCATGTTGAGATTCTCATCTATGAACACCCCCGAATCCTTCTCTTCAGGGCTACTCTCAACCCACTCTGTGCCCAGTTTGTATTTGTGCCTGGGATTAGCCCGGCCCAGGTGCAGGACCTTGCATTTTGACTTGTTGAAGCTCATGCAGTTTGCACTGGCCCATTTCTCAAGCCTATCAAGGTCCCTCTGGATGGCATATCTTCCCTCAAGTGAGTCTACAGCACCACCAGCTTGATGACCTTGGCAAACTTGCTGAGGGTGCACTTGATGCTGTTGTCCATGTCGCTGACTAAGATGTTGAACAGCACTGGACCCAGAACAGACCCATGAGGAACACCGCTTGTCACTGGTCTCCATGTGGACATCGAGCCATTGACCACAACTCTTTGAGTGCGACCACCCAGCCAGTTCTTTATCCACCAAGCGGTCCAACTGTCAAATCCATGTCTCTCCATTTTAGAGACAAGGATGTCATGTGGGACAGTGTCAAATGCCTTGCACAAGTCCAGGAAAATGACATTGGTTGCTTTTCCCCATGTCAACCAGTGCTGTAGCTTTGTTGTAGAAGGCTACTAAATTAGTCACGCACGACTTGCCCCTCGTGAAGCCATGTTGGCTGTCACCAGTCACTTCACTATTTTTCATATATTTTTATGTGCCTTAGTACAGCTGCCAGGAGAATCTGCTCCATGATTTTACCTGGCACAGAGGTAAAGCTGACTGGTCTCACCCCTTTCCCTA